CTGTTTTATGTAGTAACTGTTCTAACATATATTCAGGGAAATAACCTTAGACAATCCAGTCTGGTGGTATACAACATTGTCTGCTCTTGTATGAAAAATGCAGAATAGCAGTTCTGTGCAAATTGCAGGAACAATTAGCTTTATTATAGTAAATGTCTTCAGACTACTTAGTGAAACATGCAGACTGTATTTGTTTGCTTCCAGCTAAATGAAGTTGTCTACTGTTTTTCAGTGCCTTATCACGAGGGTCCAACAGAGTTAAGATGAGACACCTTGTGTCCCAAATTTGCTGATAGCTACATGGCATCGAGGCTAGGTTTCCATATCTTACACGATGAACTTTCCATGACTTTCTGCGTCGTGTGCTCCTACAGGCTGAACCTCCCCTGCCTGCAAAGGGAAAATAGTAGTGAAGGAGTCAGAGGCACCGAGGCATTGAGTTAGCACATTTATACCTTAGGGGGGTTTAAGGAGTTCGTGCCTGTTTTTACAGGGAGTTTTTCAGCCTACTTTGAACTACCTTAAAACAATAAAGTTCCCTTTTCAGCAGCTTGGTTTAATGGAAAGATTTACTGTATTTTCATTCTCCTGCTGAAAAGTGATAATGAAGCCAAGTTCAGAATTCAGTGTCAAAGGGAACGTCTATTTAGGAGAATTAAAGGGTCTAATAACATTCCTGCCACCTGGATTGCCTTATGGGTGGGAGACGTGGGTAGTCCTTCATGGAACACAGCTTGGTGTAAGTATGACATATTTTTATTTTAAAATAAAAGCACAAGCCCTTTGCCAATCACAAGAATACCTTGCTAAAATTAAAGTTTCAGAAAATACCGAAGAAGTCAAAATACAGCTTTGTAGGTTTAACATTTCATCATTGTTATATCTAATACTCTTCTGCCTGAGAGGGGCAACACAGTCCTGCCATTATTGCTTCATGCCTCATCCTATTATGAACTTTCTCCTGTTAAACAAAGAAAATTCGGGTCCTGCAAATGCTTACACACATGCTTAGTTTTAAACATGTGAGTAACTTAACTGGCTCAAGTACAACTGTTTAAATGCTTGACATAAAGTGTGTGTGTACAGGTTTTCAGGAGAGGAGATATGGTTGCAAAGAATAACTTTACACGCGTGCTCCCAGATTCTCGAGTTGAGGAATCCATTAAGCTGCCGTTTGCTTTTTGTACTTTCCCTCCCAAAGGTTTGTACTAGAAATGACCCATTTTATGAACTGCACTTTTCAGGTTTGAACCCTTTAATACCGCACATAATGCTGGATAAGGAATTTTAGCTTGCGGAAACGTCTGCAACAGCAGCAACAAGAGAAAGTGTCTCCTTTCAGAATTTCCCTTGCCTGCTCGGTGGTGAAGGAAATAAGCAAAACAAGTCTGAAATTGGGTTCGTTAATTTTTTGACAAGTTTTAACTAAGCACAATGACAGGGAGCTTTGCGAGAGAAATTTTAGAAGCCCAGGCACCAAGGCATAATAAGCTGTCAGAGAAAAGATCAAGTAGCATTCTCTAATTCATCTAACCAACATCAATGTTCCAGCTAACAGTAGACAGTGTTAGCCAGATTCTTGCCCTTTTTATCTATGAAAAGCTACATTTATCAAAATAAGCAAAAAATGTGAGGTATGGAATGCAGTTCATTGGAGGGCAGGGCTTTATTGGTTGATTGGTAAATTGAAACACATGGAAAAGTGCTACATGTAGGAACACACTGCTGACTGTATTACTCATTTTTTATTGGTTAATCTCTAATAAGAACCAGCTGGTAATAAAGGACGGAGTTCATGGGAACCCACCCTTTGTTGAAAGCGAAGTTGGTGTCAATACTAGAAACACATGAGCACAAAGAAAACAGATGTAATTGGCTTCTGGAGGTCAGGTTATGTAAAGACCCCAGTGAACAGAGGTGAGGTTTTGGCTGCAGAGAATGACAGGCTAAAATAGCCATTATTTCTGTGTCTGCAAGTGTGTGTGTGTCAGGAGGGGGTGGCAATCACAGAGACCTCTGTTTTGGGTAGGAATCAGGGCTTTATGCTCTACAGAAAACAGGGAGCTTCACCTTAAACATACAGTTGCCAAATTAGGGAGAAAATGCTTTTTGGGGTAGGAAACCTGCAGCTTTGTCTTCAACTATAGTCTAAAATCTGCTTTGAGCTTTACTAGAATTAAATGCATTTTGTTAGACAAAACAGTGATGAGATACACGTTCACCCCTACAAATTCGTGATGTCTACAGCCCCGAAGAGAATGGGCTGGGGCTTCAGCACAGGTTTAAAGTTAAACAGATGCTTCAATAGTTCCTTGCCCAATAATGTCTACTTCTTCAATCAGAACATAAAACTGTCTTGTTAAAGCTTTAAACTAATTCATAAGAGGGGCAGAGGGGACTTTTTTCTTTTTTTTTTCTCTGAGGGCAACAGTATACATTACATAAAAAATGTTCACATAGCAGGTTAGAAATGTAAGGAATCAAAATGGCAATATCCTGGGTTTTACCATCAGAGCGTTTAATGAGGCATTTAAACCAAGCTCTGGCTCTCTTGCACAGAAGGCTTCCTTTAAGAAGAACCTCAGAGATTCTGTTCCTTAATTTGGATTTCTCTGTTCTTTTTATAATGTGATGCTGCACGAACAATTCATGTGAGTAATGTGGGCAACAAGTGAATTTTCAGATACAGCCTTGTTCAGAATTATTTGCCAAAAATACTTCAGCTTGAGGATTGCCCAGGAGGAGTTCAGCAACAAGGATTCGAAATCCAAGCCTTGTAGGTGACATCTGAGCAGGCATGTGGTGGCGGCTCTGCCCTGCGGTTCGCTCACTGTAATCCTCAGATTCAGGATTCTGTTTTGAATATTTGTGGTTTGGAGTTCAAACTTCGTTTTCTTCAAACATTCTCTAATGTTCGAGTCAAATGCACTCTTTCCCGCCTGCAGGCTTCTTCACTGGAATACCACTTGCAAACAAATTAAAAAGACACACAAATGCAACCCTGGCTAAATCCAGATCTGGTCACTGATACCATCTTACAGTTACACCAATATAACTGCACTGGAACTTATTCTTGGTTTAATTCTCATGTGCATTGCAACAATGTCTAAAAGCTCTCAGGTCCCCCCAAAGTAGGCTTTCATTCTGCAAAGGACCATGTCAGAAAAGAAAAGTCCATCTCAGCACTCCCAAGATCTTTTTGCCCCCTGCAGAGGAAAGAGCTGAATTGCTCAGTGCATTGCAAAGTGAGGTCCCTCCAAGCTGTGCGTATATAGAGGAGTTATCTGGCAAAGTTGGCATGAAAAAAACATCTGAGAAGCACAAAAGTAAAAATGAAAAAGAGGTTTTGGGTGATTGGTTCTGAGCCTGTACGCTGATGCATATTTAAAATACCTGAAATGAGGGACAAGTACACTGTAAACCGTATTGGAAAGTTTTTTTGGAAAAGTGTTTGCTACTGTTATTTTAAAGTCAGCTTAATGCCTTAATGCCTTTCTAGAAGCAGTGGTTACCAAAAAAAAAAAAAAAAAAAAAAGCTGGGAAAGAATTATTAACACAAAATTCAATAACATCCCCCTTGCTTTCTCCAAGGTATTGCCTGAGTGACTGCAGCATTTACAAAAGGGATTCTAATCTGAAATGAATTTGCAGCTAATTCAACCTGTAGGCTAGTGACTCTGGGATTTCCTAGATAATACAATCCAGACAGTAATGTTGATGGATGTTAAAGACTTGCCTGTGTAACTGTTGTAAAGCTCTGTCATAAGAACAAATGAGGCATTATTGCTTTAACAAAAGTAATCCCACTGCACCAGTAAATTCTGCACTCTTTCAATATCACACGATTATTAGTTACAGTGACTTAGTGATGTATCCTCCTTCAAAGAGGAACAAACACTTCATCCGTGGCTTTTGTATGTGAGAGGCTCTCCGCAAACTAATTTTTTATTTACTTATTTTTAACACAGAGTGAATTCAGTGTCATGTGTTTTCTTACCTAGACAGATGAGCTGGAAGAAATGTGGCCAGCGTATAACAATGAGTACCAGGGTAGTGGGGCTACAAAAGCAGATGGTGATTTTCATTGCTCTGTATTTTGTTACTGACTCTGTGAGGGAGGTCAGGATGGCTGGGAGTAAAAAACTAGCCTTAAAAAGCTAAAAGAACATTTATGTTTGGAGGACACTGAATAAAAATGGTTTAGTGGTTGCATATTTTCCTAAAGGCTTCTATTGAAGCCACAGATATTTGGCTAACCTGGACTAGACTCTTCTGCGTTCACCCTAGAGCTAATGTGTTTTATGGATTTTAATTCCTGGACCAAGCCTCACTGACAGCATCCAGATTTCCATTCCTCTCTTTGCTCTTGAATAAAATGGCCAACCTGCCCTTTTCTTCCCTAGGTATCCATGCTCTCCAGCATTACCAGATATTCCACCCTATGCCTACAATCCTTTTCATCCAATGTTTTAGTCATCCTCTCACATATTTTATCATCTGTTCATCTTTCTCAGAGAGCAAACCTTCAAAACAATTGAAGTTAAGCCAAAATAATTCTTTACTTTTGTGGGAGGGAAATATTGACCAACGGGGGGAAAAGAATTAAGCACGTTATACTTACCAAGTCTTGCTGTGATGTTAGTGTTAAAACCCTCCTTGTAAACTTTGAGAACCTCTTTTACTGATAATTTCAAGCATTAAAAATACCATTTTTCATGACCAGTGGTCCTTCTATTCCTAATGCTTTCCAGCCTTCTTTTTTTTTTTTTTTTTTTCCCTCCTAGTAAACAGCTGATGGACTAGAGCCTTCTGATCAAACACCTACTTACTAAATCCTGGGGGGAAGGGGGTTGTTCACTTCTATTTTTACTAATGCAACCACTCTGGAAACAACCCTATTGAAAGAGCATATAAAAGGTATCCCTTTTCCAGCCCAGTTTTTCCAATGGAGGGTTCTCCTGGCATAAGAGATTTACCCAAAGGTTTCTGTTGCTTCTCAGGTTTTCCAGCTCCAATCAAGGCCTGGGACAGGTTAGGTTCATGAAGTGAAGAGCCACCCTGATGTTCTCTGCTGGTCCTCGGTTGCAGTATGGCCCTGCTGGGACCAGGGCTGAGCATTAAAAGGTTTTGCATGTGTTGGGCTACAGCAAGAGCCAGAAGAGGCAGTGGTGTAACCAGTTCCCCAGCTCCCCTCCCTCCATCAGAGAGAACTTGGCTGAGCAAAGTGAACATGGCCCTCACTGTGAGTAACACTGTGGTTTAGAAAATAATAATAATGTTGGACTATCTAGGAAAAATCACACTTATTACGAGGCTGTCTGAAACCTGCCTTTGTGCCAAAGGTTAATGAGGAGAGGGCTGCAGGGGAATCTGGGCGGGAAGGGGGACGGGCACCTGATCTTCCATGATTAACTTGACAAATGTCTTCCTGGCCTCTGTCCAGTTCCTTGTGGAGATACAGCTCTTGGATGCATTCAAAATGACCTACTTTTCACTGCTGGCCAGGATTTTGCTGCATTGTTGTTATTGTTGGACTTTTCCGCTGCTTTTGGTACTGTTGCACATGAGGTTTTTGTCCTGTGTCAGAGTGCTGGTTTTGTGCCTGAGTACAGGTCTTCTCTGACTTCTCACATGCTGATGGTGACAATAAAGCATTACACCTTGAGGTACCTATATTCTGAAGCTCTCCAAAGTGTTTTAAAACTGTTTTCTTCTCCCATTGCTGTACATTAGTAATTAATGCAGAGCTCCTAAAACCTGCTCATACATCTGCTTGCTCTGAACACAGAATGGGCAGATGTTTGACATTCATCATCACCAGCCTAAAGAAGGAGTTAAAGATGATGGTACACAACAAAATCCACCAAGAAACTTGGCCCAGGAATGTGGATTAATGACTGAATAATAAAGAATGACCACCCCAAGAATGTGTCTTCCTCATCCCACCCTTTTCCTTAAATTGGACAGAGTACTACTCCAACCTGGTTCCTGTTTCCAGAGCCATTGGAAGGACAGAGCAAGCATCTCCTTGGTCAGACCAGCTCGGGTCAGCTTCAACAACCCTGCCAAAACACACCATTGTCTTGTAGTTTTAAAAACTAGTTTTAAAAAGCTTTGGAAAGGATAAGATTCCTGGTTCACTCACACCTGCTCTTGCCCTTCAGGTCCATTTGCCTGAGGCTTGTGCAAATGATTTCTCTGCTCAAGCCAAAAGGGGTTTTGATGTATGCTTGTAATAGGTTTGGGTCTTGATTGTATGGGTTTCCATCTTGCTGAACATGACCACAAACATTTCTAAAATACGTCCTGGGGTAATTCAGAAAGATAGCAATCAGCAGAGAGCATAGGCTCGTTTAAGGTGTTACAGATGACTCTACAACCTGTTAAGTCAGAAGAAGCCTCAGGTAACAAGTGTATTGAAGAAAATGTAAAATGTATCCCAGAATGGATAGACAGACGAATATATTTAATGCTATTCTTTTTCTATTGGACATGTCAGTTCCGATTTACTAGGAGACTAGTTCATTATTTATCTCCTGTAAAATACAAACATGAAGGAAAGGCAAAGGTCTGTAGACGTCTCTTTGTTAGTCCAGCAATGCTGATGGCTATTTAGTCATGTTAGAAACTAAAATAATATTTTCTTCAAATGCTGCGTTTGCCAAATACAAAGTGAGCTGACATCTGCTTGGCTACAGCTGGGGTCACATATGAAGCAGTGCCTAAACTGAACAAATATTTCCAATTTTTAAAAAAGAAAGAAAAAGAAGAGAAAAGAAAATCATTAACCTTTTGTCATTAGCATTAGCTGTTCTTTGAATTGCTCAGCAGTTTGAATCAGTGCACCTGCCAAAATAAGCACCAAGTGTTGTTACCCTCTTAGGGACAGCCCTGTTCCATAAATCACAGGATTTCAATGACAGCTAAATGTGTTTTATATCATATAGAGAGCCTGTGTTTATGAATGTGAGATAAAAGGGGTTTAACCAGTGCAAACACTAAGACTACTGTATGCAGTCTGGCTCTCCCTTATTTTTTCCCCTTTTTCTTAAACGTGATTTCTATTGCCCATGCGCATGTCTATCTCCAAATTTCCTGCCAGTTTTGTCTGTAGTTGAATTTCCTTCCAATTCTTTCTGTCCTGAAGTGCAGCACTGACTGCATAATCCCTGTAAGTGTCCAGCTGGAAGAAAAGTGGACTTGGAGACATGAATGCTTTGCATGAAATGAATTATTTGCATGGACTTTAGATCTTGAACTGAAGACTAAAGATATGGCATTATTCACCTGTGAACATGTGTGTTCTCCAGACATAATGCCTGTAATATTCTTACCTTGCAAAAGTCCTGGCATTACTCCTGCCAGTCACAAACATCCCAAAATGAGATTCTTCAATATGAGAACAGCCAAAATGAGATCACTTCTGTGTAAAGGCAATTAGGGGGACTTATCAAGAAACCTACTTTTTTTTTTTCAAACCCATACTAGGTTTCCCAACTGCACAAAAAAAAAAAAAAAAAATCACATCCCAGGGGTGCTGAAATGTAGATTATTAATGTTCTGAAATTGTTCAAAGACCCTGAGATGTCGCCTGTCTGTTTTTTAACGTCTTTGTTCCAAAGTCTCATATAAACAGAAAAAGTTACCTGAGACTAGTTTGCTCATTCCTTCTGTGCTAGCAAATGCACCAGCATATCCCTGAAAACAACTACTGCTTGAACAAGGACCAGCATTATTGTAAAAATGAAATTATTAATAAAAGTTTAAAAGTTGAAATGATTTTGTTTTTCAAACTGCCCAGTTTTTTTCTAACCAGTTAAATTTTCATTTTTTGCTAGGAACTTTCACTCTGTGAAATTAAAGTTAAAGCCATCCCCAGCCACTGGATAGAGCATCTACTGAGTCATTATTTATAAAAAGTCTCCATGTAAATAGATGAGAACACTGTAATTTTCACTCGTAGTCCAGTGTTATTTTCAAAGGCCTGCAATTTATTCTAAAATTTAAATCTCTTGGAAAAGCATCATGAGAGAACACACATAGAAATCACTTTCTGTCTAAGGCAGGAAACAATCTTCATGGATGTCTCCCTGAATTCATTCCAGAGCAATATATGGAGCTGAAATGATTGAATGATTCATTTTCATTGCAGTAAAGATAAAAGAATTTAAATAAACATCAGACAGGAGGCAGTTAACGTTAAAATACAGTACAAGAATGGGACTAAAATGTACAAGAGACACATTTCTCTGTTAGAGGGCTGCGTGTGTGAATTTGGTTAAATCACAGTGTAGGAAATCCTATCCCCATGGAGTTTTGCCATGGAAGCCAGCAAAAGGCAGCTGCATCTCTCGTTAGCACAAGAACCACTTTGGAGATGTTTTGGTGGTGCAGACCTCAGATGTGTTCCACACCTGGCCACCATCCTCCAGAAGGGGTCGGAACCTGAAACCGGCAACGACCGCCTGCAGATTTTAAACAGCTATGTTTTAATTTGCTCCCTTCAGATGAAATAAATATATCTGTGAGCTGGTATAAAAATTCCACAGGGATGTTATATGGATGGCTGGTTTCCTCTTCCAAGAAGAACTTTGCTAGGAATCACAGGCACTGCTACATGTCATTCTTCTCTGACGAGCACTGTTGTGTCAGGAGCATGGTCCCTCCAGGGAAGCAGGCACAAATGCCAATTCCTGTAAGAAATATGTCACCCAGCTGAGTTCTCTCATAACAGTAGTGGCTTTTCTACTCCCTACATTTGTCAATGATTTCTGCTCGTGAGCTCAGTCATTGCCATGTGGCTAGGGAAAATTGTAGCCCTTTATCAAAAGCTGCTCCCATCCCTGCCAGATGAGGTCTGCTTTTCATTTGAAAGGCTTGCAGCAAGCAAGGAAGTGTCTGAGCCATGCCCAGTCCTCCTAGGCAAATTCTTTGCCACCTCAGATGTTAATTCCTAGAAACTCTATTGTCAAGAGCGATAGTCCTGAGAGCTCTGCTGAGCTGCGGATCTTGGAGAGGGTTGGAGACATTTTCTGCTGCAGTCATTTGGAACAGCTCTGCGTTACTGCAATCTCCATTACAACACAATAACAGGAAACGTTTCAGTGGCCTCTACAGTACTTGGCATATTATTTCACTTTAATGCTCGTATTGTTTGAGCATTAATAAAACTGGAAACTGTGATATAATTAAATCCATTCTTCCTACAGAGAAGATGACTGTCTAAGATAGTGGCAAGAGCTGCAGACTCACATGTCGCCTGGAGAAGAGAGTGCGTTCCCCTTGCCAAGGCACAGCATACACGTGCTTGGTTTTATATCCTCGTGCATAAAAACAGCTCCAGTTGAGAGCTGGAGACCTCTTGCACCTCTGGATCCAGAGCTGCGAGACTTTATTGCTTGAGCTATAAGATTATCCTGTTAGACCAAAGGATAAACCGTTCTCAGACCCACTGTGCATAACCTGAGCCTCTTGTGGGTTAAGATTTTAGACACAGAGACCAAATAGCTGATAGAGCCATGGCTTATTTGAACTGGCTGAAGTGCATGTTTATATTTTGGGTGGAATCAGGAATATCACAGTGTGGAAATCTCTGTGCATCTCTCTGGTGCTGCACCACTGAAATGAGGCGTTCTGTGGCTGTTGCTGCCTGCAGTCACCTGCTCTGGTTGTGCGCACACACTGCAGCCAACCACAGGGTGATGCCCATCCTCATGTCTGCAGTCACAGGTCCAATCCAGCTTCCAGCTAAACACATTGATATCAGGGAAATAACCAAGCTGATAATGTAATCTCTCTGCAGGCAGATTGAGCCAACAAAATCCTTTATGTGTCCAGTTGCCTTTGCTGCCCCCTCAGTAATTTGCAGAAATGTTGCAGCGACTGAGGAGATGTGTTTCCTGTAGTGAAGGCTTTCCTTTGTCCATGCCTGGCATTCATTCATTTGCATTAGTCCAGCAGTAATTAAATCTCTGCTAAACTTTTAATGTAGACCTGGGGTGTGCCCTCTTGACTCAAAAGGATTGGAACAATGCTAAGAAATATACAGAGATCTCCTCTATTGTGGCAGTCCACATATCAGCTCAGAAAATTCCTGTGCAAGGAGTGTCACGGGTTGTTAATTGTTAAACTGATATTTTTGAAATGTTGATGAAATTACAACCTTAAAGAACATCTTGTGTTTGGTAAGCATTATTGGAGAAATTCATGGAAAGTTCCTAGAAACACTTTTTTTTTTTTCTTTTTTTTTCAGTACAAAAAGTGAGTAGTGAACTGGTTAGACCACAAAAATTAGAATTGTAAAATATTGCTCTGAAATAACTCTATAACGCAAGTTTTCAGATTTAACTTAATACAGTAAGTGTCTCTGTGTGACCTCAACATACATTTTTAAGTACTAAAACAATCTATGTGTAGCCAGCAACATGGACAAAACTTACATGAGCATAGTTTTCCTCCTTCTATGCTATCACTTTGAAAAACGGATCTGCATAGTACACTTTCCAACCTACTTGCTCTTAGGGAAGAGCCAGAAAAGAGAGATTATAACAGCTATTAAAATTCTTCTTCTACTAATGAAATTTAACAAACAGAAAGAAGGTGAAAATTGATTTGTATACATTATACGTATTTAACTCCAGCTGCAGATTTTGTAGTGCATATCCAAACTGGAACTTTCTTCCGTATTTCCCTGAAAAACTTCAGAGCCCAGAGGAGGAAACCAAGGAAGAGGGTGAACTGTTGACCGAGCTGCACAAGGTGGTTTTAAAGCCAAGTATCTGTTAGATATGTTTTCAGTTCCTATACCTTGTTTTCCTATTCTTAGTCTACTGCCTGCTAACAGAGACATTAGAGGGATAGGAGGAAAACTTTGAGCTTCAGAAACAGCAAGTAACATGGGGAAAAGTGAGAGATATCTATGCTAGGTTGCGCTTTCTGCTCCTGTAAATCGCCCTGCCAACACTGGGCAAACAGAAGCATTCTCCTCCCTTTTACCCCTATTACAGAGAGTAACAGTGGTACTGGCTCACTTCTTCCCTGTTCCACACGTGGGAAATTGAAACTCTTGGTCCAGTGTTGGGTTCAAAACAATTCTCACCAAGATGTCTATCACTGATCACAATATCCTCCATTGATTTTGGTTAACTTGGGATTTCACACCGAAGTTTTTGTCCAAAAAAAAAAAAAATAGAAAAAACTTGCTTCATTTAAGCTTGTTGCCAACTTCTTCTTCCTTCCCTGACTTTCAGGATTCAGCCATTATGCAATATCTCATCTTAAACTTTTGCTTAAATGTCAACAGCTGCCTTTGTTGGCTACTGATCTACTCAGAAGTTAAATTGTCTTCAGACAATGCTTTTAGAGATTGTAGATATTTTAGAAGGCTGTCATCAATATGTCCTAGGAGTTGGAAGATGTTTTTTTCTTTTGTGGAAGCCAGTTAAGAATCCGTAATGCAGCACAATGTAGGCTTTCAAAAAGGCATAGAGGTAGAAAAAAAGTAAGTTTTTCCTGTTCTTGATGTGGAAACCAAGAGGAATCCAGGCATTTCTCTTGACTTCACTGTGAACTACACACAGCAAAAGGTTACAAAATTGGACGTGGGGGAAAGATCAGAGGTTAAGGAGCTCATATTTCTACATAACATGACCTTATCTCAGTGGCAACTCAATTCTCATGATCTGCTGCTGTGTTCTCACAAAGATAAGTCTTCTAAAGACATGGAAGAGTGTTTTAGCAAGGAAAACAGGAGACTGCACTCACAGCAGTTTCTTTGAAAAGTTTGCCTGCCTGTGAGTTACAAGATACTGTACTTAAAATGTCAAATCAAGCAATCTGTTCTGAAAGGAAAATTACCAAAGCAATCACAGAACTTGATTTCCCCTAGACTCATGGAATACAGACAAAAATTATGAAAATCGCTTGGCCACCCAGAGCCTTAATGTTGAAGTCCCAGGTCAAGGAAAGCTCAAGCAATTAGCCTGCTGCACTAATGACATGCCTGTTTGATATAGTAGCTGAATAGCACCCTGATTGCCTATAATATGATTATGCACATTTTGGGTTCCTTAAAAAAAATGATGCCTTGGAAAAATAAAATCTCATTTCTCTGGCATTTCTGAAAAACCTCTGTTTCCTGAAAAGCCAAAGGCATATTTCAGCTCCCTATGTTTCCACAAATGTTATTAGATTCACTCACTGGCCTACCTTTAATGAGTATAATATGTCATTGTTGAGAAGGATATTAAAATACAGTTGCAAGACAATGTTGTCCCATCACAAAGCTGCTGTAATTCATGGGGCCAGTTTCTCTTCATCTCCCATTAAAAAAAAAAAAAATACACACCACAGGAAGGTTGGACAAAGATTGCTCCAGGGTGGATAGTATTAACAATTCAGTTACTGCATTCACAAGACAAATTCTGGTAATCAGAAAAACACTCTTCTTCCTCCCCCTTTATACAAAACTCAAATTCTGAACTGTTCTGTCATTTCTGAAAATTTCAAAAACAATTTAATTTTCCTTTTTTTAATTTTTATTTTATTTTATTTTCTGTGTCTGACAATGTTTTTCCTTCTAGTTGGAGCTAAAATTGGTGACACTGAGTAAGTCAGGAGCAAGATTGGACTCAAATGTTCTGGATGTTCAACATAATGTAAACCTCTTTAGAGTCACCTATCTATGTGCGTATATATATATATACCACTCTGTCATACATCCATTATTACAGACAGATGAGAAAAAAGGCAAGGAAAAGACATCATGAGAAAATCTATTTTATTCAAGATATACAGCTGAAACATACTAAGCAGACACACAACAAAGAATACTACAAGGATAAGTCCAAACGATACCTAAGCACTCAACAGTCTGTGATAAGAAGCTTCTTTATTGCTCATATGTTGAATTAATATCACAGGTAAAGCAGACCAGAAATCCAAGTACAAACAACAGCTTGAGATATTCAGTATTTTTGCAGGACATGGGGACAAAGAAGCCAGTGACACAGCCGAGACTAGAGCAGCACAAATGTGAGATGAAAAAGGGGATGGAAAAAAATCCTAAACCTAATTCAATATTTGGTTTGGGAGGTGATCTGGCTTCTTTTAATCTAGAGGTGTTTGCATATTCCGACCAGTGGGACCATCACTCTCTTCAGCTGCACCATAAAGCAGGGCTTGTAGTGTTTTGGACAAAACCACAGCG